TCTGTAATGGAATACATTTTAAAAGTAACCTTCCCAACACTGTCCATGACCAAATGCATTCACTTTGTATCTCCAATCATACATGTTGACAAATGTGGATCAGGAATGTATCATCACCAGGAGCAGGAGGCTACTGTCTGATTCATTCCTGCATTGTCACTCAGCAGGAAGATGATTACAAATGTCTTCTTGTGCTGCATGGTTGCTACTTTAAAATAATACCTGTAATGTAAACAGGGTGGCCTGGAACCTATATGAAATGCAAATGCAGACCACACACATACCCACAAATATGCTCCATATACTGTACAAGGAAGTTGCCTGTGGTTATAGGGACCTCCTACAAGTTGATCTTTGAACCCCAGAATACGGTATCTACTGCAGTTTATTTATCTTGTCTTGGAAGATAAAATATCTATAAAATATTTATTTTTTCCACCATTTAAAACTAGTGCCAAAACATCCTATAGTCACTAAAAATGGTACCCTGGTAACGTCAGGGAAAAACATATAATATTTATTTTCTTGTTTCTTCTGAAACAGGGTAAACGACTAGAGGGTTTTACGGGAATATCTTAACAAGATACATTTAAGAGCTCATTGGCAAAGAGATTAAACTTCTTTTATTCCATGCTTGAATAATGAATGAATTTGGCCAGGGATGGTTTACATAGAAGGCTCATGAGGAATAAAAAGAAAATACACAGCACATGGACAAGGAATGTGTTCTGACATCCAACAAAGCATTCTGGGTAGTGAACAATCTAGCCCAATTCAGCTCCAGCTACATTTCAGCCACAAGAAGAGCTCCAGGCCTTCAACCAAGACAACATATGACTGAACACTTGATTTGTTTCCGTTCCAGAAGCTGCAAAATCAACTCCTGTCTTGAATCCAAACCAGGACCACAGCTTGTAAAAAAAATTACAGTACCTCGATTGCGCACTTTAAATCTTTGCAGTGTGCCGAGAGGCCAGAAAAACTGAAGTGTGCATTAGAACATCACAAGCCTCAATGAGGACCACAAAACTGAAGCATCACTGCTCCAGGACACTGTTAATAACAAACTAAAATCATACGCAGTCACTGTAAAAAGAAAGCATACCTACTTTCATTTCTACGATTTGCTATATTAGGAGATAATAAAAATAGCACGCCTTAAAATTAGACAATTATAGTTTCGGATGAGCATGAACATGACATGTTGCATGGTCTCATTATTTATGTAAACAAAAATGACATCAAAATGCAGAAACAGTTTGTAAAGAATTCAGTACACCTGTATGACTCCCAAGGAAATATAAGAGGTCGAGCAGCAGCTAGGTGTTGCTAGTCAAATGAACTTGATTAAATGATCATCAGCAAGTGTGAGCACCTCTATAAAGGTTTAGGCAGTTAACACAAGAAATCAGTTTTTTCTCTCTATTAATCTGGGAATTGTTATGAGGTCATTTCCAAACAATCTTAAGTCCTTTAATCTACAGTGAGAAAGATTCACAGATGGAAAACATTCAAGACAGTCAACAGTCCTCCCGGGAGTGGACGTCACAGCAAATTCCCCCAAAGTTTAGACCAGGGGTGGGCAATCTCAGTCCACGAGGGCCGGTGTCCCTGCAGGTGTCAAATCTCACCTTGGGTCAACACACCTGAATCACATGATTAGTTCGTTACCAGGCCTCTGGAGAACTTCAGGACATGTTGAGGAGCTAATTTAGCCATTTAAATCAGCTGTGTTGGTTCGAGGACACATCTAAAACCTGCAGGGACACCGGCCCTCGTGGACTGAGATTGCCCACCTCTGGTTTAGACTCATGCAATCCTTAGAGAAACTGGAGAAAAGCGAAGAGCTGCATCTCTACAGGCCTGAGTTAGTAGTTTAAATATTAAAGTTCATGACATTATGATTTGAAAAATACTGAACAAATATGTTTTGTTTGGAAGGGTTGAAAGGAAAAAGTCTCTTCTCTCTAAAAAGAACATGTCGGCATGACTTAGTTTTACAAATATGCATCTGAACGAACCCAAGACTTCTGGAGCACTGTTCTTTGTATAGATGAGGCCAAAGTAGAGATTGTTGTCTATAACGCACAGTGACACAACACAACATATCAACCTCATTTGACTTCATTTTTGTTAAATAAAAAAGGACACAGTGTAAGATGTGTGTAATTTTAACACTTGGTACGGATTATTATCTGTATCCGTATTATTATTATTATTATTATTATTATTATTATTATTATTATTATTATTATTACATATACAATTATGCGTGGCAGAGGGTGTACTTCCTTTTTACCATGGCTGTATTTAACCATTCCTTTTTAGGAAAAGGTGTTTCTATTATTTTGAGCACTGTTTTTATGTTAGTACTATACAGAGTTTGACTATAACATATATAGCAAGGTGATTGGAGCCCTGATCCCTCTCATTTACACTCTGTACAATGATTTACTGGGACAGTTAGCATAAATATTAATAATTGGCATCAGGAAGCAGTTGAAGGCTGAAATAAATGACATAAATCACCACATATGAGAACCAGATTACATGTGGTACTGATATTAAATGAAACAAACACAACGCAACACATGAATATTCCCCTTGTTTCAGTCAGAGCAAACAAATGAAAAGAGGCATCAGAGGTCATGCAGGGATTATACACCCCGTGCATGAGTCACGAATCATTTTACTAATTATACAAACTGTTTCTTATATTTGCATTTGCATCTGCTTTAAAAACTCCAAAAGAAAATAAAAAACACTTGTAGAATAATGGAAGGAACAGGTTTCAGTTTTATGGTTGACAAAAAAGACTTTGCCTGGGGTGACATTTTTCACTGCTATGTTGTAGACTGAGCAGTTGATTTGTGTATTTGGATTCTGCAGTGACTCTTTCTTGGTTGAAAAGGCAGCAGTGTATATAACCCTGATGAACAAACGCAATTCATCTATGCCGGCAATAAATAGTAGGGGACAACCAAAGGTCAGGAAAGAAACTAAAGAAGGGGAGAAAGAGAGGGAAAAAGCCAAAAATGAAAATAATAAAAACTGATAATAAGTAAAATGATACAGAAAACAACATTCAAGATAGGCAGATGTGTATTATAGGACATCTTAGTTTCAGTCATTATTCTAGCTGGATCATTCTAAACCATTTGGCAATTAGTATCATATAATACAAAACAAAGCCACGATGAGCTCCGTATTAGCAGAAAAAGATGTGTGTGATCTATATAATAAAAATGGAAAAAAGGTCATCTTTAACCTTCTAGGACCTGGCATCCACATATTTGGACATCACATTTTGGGTTATTTAGACCAAAATATTCAATTTTGCTCTACAAGGGCCTGATATCCACTTACGAGGACATTATACTGCTACTGTTCTATCAAAATTTTAAACGAATATCCTCATATGTGGCTCTTATTTTTCTTAAAAACAAAAATAAGGTTAAAAAAATTTGGTAATTCTTTGTTTTTACATTCATTGGGCCCCAATGTGACCAAATATCAAAGAGAAATTAAAAATGAATGCTGTAGAGGAGTGCGGGTCTTAGGAGGTTAAAACACCGTGCTTTCAAATGCCATACAATTGTTCATAGCAACCTTAACAAATATTCAGAGTTCCTGGTATCTATGTGACTAATCAGGAGAGCCTATATTTTATTAACTTAAGAATTAGGTTAAAAAAATGAGTATTATCAGAGGAGTAATGGAAATGTATATATTTTTGTATTACTTTTACTAAGAAGTTAAATAGGCCAAGAACAGAGCCTTGATGTACTCCTTATTGCACGCCACGATATTGAGTGTGAGAATCAAGTGATATATAATATCAAAAGGATCAGAGACTGAATGCCGCTTTGTATACAAGGACAAGTTACACAGATACATAATTATTAAGAGAGAATGAACCAAGTTTAATTATGTGAATTAGGATGTGGACAGTACTTAATAGGAAGTAGCCAATGATTACATACAAGTAATAAGTAATAAAGTGATTAACCATATCTCCTGCATGTACCTGATACATCATTATAGGATATTTTATTATTTCTGTGCATGAATGAGTGAGCAGGTGTTTAATGCGTTATTATTCCCGTAAATATGTGACGCATGTGGAGGCAAAGGACACCCCTCAGTTACACTCATCTCTGGTTTGGTTTGGAAGTCCTGGAATTATTTAGTCAAAGAATTTGTTTCCAAGGTTCCCATGAAAACTACAGCGAATTCGTCAAGCTAAAGACAGCCATCTGTGCACTGGGTCTGATTACCACTGTTGGTTTGTCTGCCATAAACTGTCTGTTTGAATGAGGAGGCATGTAGGAAGCTCAGTATGTGATGTATGTATTTGTGTTGAGTGTCCCTGGAGGGTGCTGTGGTGTGAACAGACACCGGTCATACATAGGTGGACCACCAGCCATGACGCCCATAAGACCATAGACAGGATACTGACTCATCAGGTCATGTACGTTTGTTTAATGGAAGAAAGATTATTAGTAGAAACCACGTTTCCTTCCACAAAACCACAGACCCTCGGATACTTAAGCTGTCCTGTTCTTCTGCCCAACATCTGTAATGATGGATGAAGAAAGACATATCATGCACATGAACACACAAACACAAGTGCAAACACATTGAAAACATTGAAAAATTAGATCAATTAAACGTCAGATGTCTTTCAAAGCTACATTTATTTTGGTGAACATAAATCTGAAGGGAACAAAATTTATTTGAATATTGAAACTGAAGCATGTACTGTGTGGTCATAGTACATCACCCAATAGCCTTTTAAGTCTCTTAATAAGGCTTTTAGCACTTCACCGTACAATTATTTTGTACATCTACAATGACACTAAAGGGCTTTTCTATTCTAGTGATCAGATTAATATGGCTCTTAATGACATTTGAAATAATCTTCTCTTATCATCTATGGACAAAAATCCCTAAAATGTCATGTCACACAAACACCAGATCCACACATTAGTAAGAAATGTGTGAGACTCAAAAATATCGGGTTTAAGTTATGTTAAAAATACTAAACAGTCTTAATATAATATAGTTTTCATTTCCCAAACAATAGTAATACAAGTATTATTTGCTAAACATGTTTTATATATCTTCAGAACATATATCTGTATATATAAAATAATATGGTGTCATTGCGTATGTCCCAGGTTGGATGTTTGTAAAAGAGGTAAAAGAATTCTGGAGTTTTAGAGTGGATTGGAGGTTAAGGGAACACGGGTGATGCCAGGAATTGTTGGGTAGATATTATGTTAGGGAGAGGAATGCAGAAGGATTAGTGGATTTTGAGAAAATGATGAAAATGGCTGTGGTGAACAAATATTTCAAAGAGAAGGAGAAACAGAAACTTAGGATGACATACAAGAGTGGAGGAAGGTACACATGTAGACTACATCTTATGCAACCTGAAGGAGATGGGAGACTGGAAGACAGCAGGGGAGAATGAAGCAAAGCAGCACTGGACGATAGTCTGTAGGACAACTTTGGAAATCAAGAATTTCAGGGGTGAATTGTGGCAGAAGGATAGCAGCAACGGATTGCAGTGAAAGGGAATGGTAGTGAGACCTGCACAGCTGAAGATGTTAAGCTATTGGATGTTGGGAATGACCAGAATGAACAACACTAGAAATAGGTATATAAGAGTGACAACTAAGGTTGTGCAGTTTGGAGACAAAGTTAGAGAGGCAAGGCTGACATGGTTTGGACATATGCAGAGGAGAGATAGTGTATATATGGGTCAAAGGTTATTAAATATGGAAGTGCCAGGCAGGAGGAGAAGATAAAGAAAAAGACGGCTTTATTTGTCAGGACAAACAGAGAAATGAGAATGAAAATTAGTAAAAGTCAAACCATCTGAACTCTCTGCTTATTGAATTTTAACCCACATCACTCCATAGCATATCAACCTTCAGGTCACACTTATACTTAATTTTACTGCTTTTGTCAGAATGGATTTTAACTTCACAAGCTGTAACATTGTTTGAATACAAAGGTCCCATTTTATCTGAATATGATATATTCTAATTAAAACAGTGAGAAAATGTTTGTATCTTTTTTCTTCACATATCTGCATTCATAAAACATTTAACAACTCTAAGCCTAATTTGTATTCCTTGTAGTCAGAAATTATGAAGCATTGCTGATAAATTGTCACTTTGGAACATAACAACATAAGTATGCTATTAATAAATATCTTTATATTTCCAGCATGTTTTAACATGTTTGTAGCATGTTAAAACACGTCTCGTGCCCTATGCTGACTCCCAGTGGAGATGATATGAAATGCATGGATTTCATGTCTGGGACTAAAACAGATAACTTTAAACAGCAAGGTTTGTCAACACAAGGGACTAAATAAAATGAATTTCTTATTATGGATTTCATACACCAATGTGATTTTTACTTGTGGTTTATCATGACATTCCTATGTAAACCTATAAGCATCACAGTGCCCTGAGGGTCGGGTCACTGGAAACTTGTGACCCTGTGGTCAGTATAGCTTCCTGGTTGAATTCTTTAAAGTTCAAAGCCTCCTTTTACAGCTGAGTGTGTTAGAATACCATCAGGTTTCTACTGCATCTGCTGACATTTTTCAGCTCAGCGGGCGAGAATGGCAACATGCTGAGACTTCAAATATCTGGAGGAAATTCCATGAACTTCCCTCAACAAATAGATCAATATCACATAGAGACATGCAGATATGAATTGACTTGAATACAAGGGCAAGGATATTAGTTTTACAATATAAGTAAAATGACTTACTATGCAGAATAACCTTATAAATCATTTTTAAGTACTGAAAATGTAGAAATATTATATTAACTGTATGTGTGAATTATGATAGTTCTCAGCTTCTGATTCTAACATTTATATAATTACGGTATTTGCTCAGTTTTGATAATAAAAATTTTTAATCTTAGTGTTGGCAATTCTGCTTGCTTTTCAAACAGACAGCCTGTACAGACAGGAGCCTTACATGTGATGACTCACTTCCTTGTAAACTGGTTTCCCCCCCTCAATAATGGGTTGCCAAGGCATCATTACATTGTCTGACATGGAAAAGAAAAGAAAAGAAAGAAGGATCAACCTTCCACAGAACTCTATCATTATATATATATATTTCCAGGCTAGGTAAACACAATCATCTGCTTGTTGTCCAAATATCTAATCAGATAACTGAATGGAAGCAGCTCTGTGGATTTGGGCCTCTAAACATTGGTCAAGGTGACCAGCTAAAGTTTAAACTATCAGAATGGTGAAGAAAGGTGACTTAATGTGGCATTGGTTGTAGGTATCATACGGTCTGAGTATTTCACAAACTGCTGACCTACTGGGAATTTCCTGCACATCTTAGAGTTTCCAGAGAATGATCTAAAAAACAGAAAATACCCAGTGAGCGGCAGTTCTCTGAGTGAAAATGCATTGTCCAGACTGCTTTGAGCTGAAAGGAAGGCAAAGTAACTCAAATCACCATTTATTACAACCAAGGTATAAAACATCTGAATGCACCATGAAGCAGATGTGCAACAGCAGCAGAAGACCACATCGGATATTATGGACTTATCAAAAAATTTGGGTGATGTCAAGGTGGCTACTGTCATGTTTTATGTGCAGTCTGATCTGTTTGTACACAAAACATCCTGTATGGCATACAGCTGGCTGTATAAGTATTTGGATACTTCAAATATATCCTGATTGTTCAGACTGTTGTGATTTTAAATGTACTGTGGCCATGTACAGAGGGAACATTACGAACAAATGCGGCATACTGCAAAATTTTTATGGAGAAAAGTTTTTGTTTTTTGTGTTTTTGCTCCTGTGCACTGTCAATGCTGTATTTATAAATGTATCAGTTTAAATTCTGGATTTATATATTTTAATTCTTAACAACCACCTACTTGGTTGCTCTGACATATGATGTAATGACAGGATATCATCCTATACCAATATGATATAGGGCAGTAAAAGAATTAGCCAGAGAAATATCACAGAAAAATGTAACTTTTCCACAGGGAAAAATCCAAACAAAAAAAGGAAGCTGTTGCCAACTTGTTATAATACTATGTGACCACAAAGTGGCGCAATCATTTTAGTAGTTAGACTGGATGAGCCTTCTCTCAAAATATGCAGTTTTCCAGCAGGGGTCCTCTCTGTAGCAGTTTATCAGTGTTTTTATAATACCAGCCAGTTAAAATAACTAATGTTTGATAGTTCTTTAAACAAGCTCAGCAGTGCAGAAATCCAGGAAACACTAGTGCAGCTCCAAGGAAGAGAAAGTACTGTGAATGTTTACTTCCAATCGAGTAAATCATATACTTAGCAATCTCTGGTCAACAGAAAGATGACATTTTGTCCATACAGAACGACATATTTACATCAAGTGTGGAAACAAATTATCATTAATTTTATTTATATATAAAATGTTATGAACGGTAATGTGTACAATAAATACCACCATAAACTCAGAAATCACCAGAAAGCATAGTTAAGTCAACACATGTCACACTTCTTACCCCTGTTATATTGATTTATTCTGGATACTTCCTGACTTCTGCTAAACCTATGCAAATAAACAGGATTTTGAGAAGATAACACAATGCAGGGAGAGGAAACAAAAGATGCATTGCATAGGGTGCTGTTAAAGTCACATTTTAATTAGATTGCTGTGCCAATAATCTATTTGTAGATTTGTTGTTGGACTTCTAAATTTGCTTGTCAGATGCTAAAAATGGAGTTTGTTTCTCTTTGATGTATAAACCGTTTTTTTTTTTTCTGTGAAAGACATTTTTAAAGCAACAAAAGTAATTCACACTTAGTGAGATTTTTAGAAGATACGCCAGTAAACTCACAAACCACAACCCAATACAAGAACTCAAATATCCAACCTACACAGAAAAGTTCAGTGATGTTATGTGATGTGAGAGGTGTTGCTTTTAGGCTCACTGTTGGTTATTTAGTAGTGGTGTAGAACTGGACTGCCTATTATTAGAATAACTGTAGAAACACGTCAGTATCATATCCAGCAAACCCTCTGTAATGGTATTAAAGGGATACTGCACCTCACAGTCAATTATACATGTTTATTTTTCGCCCTCTGGCCAATGAACCCGTTTAGACTGTACCGATGTTGGTGACCCAATTTTTTCTCAAAGTGTAAAACAACACAAAACATTTGAGCAATTTCATGTAGAAATTATTTTCTTCTGCCAACCAAAAGGAGTACACAGCTAGCTAACATTACAGTTTAACTGAGTGGGGTGAATTAAAAATCAGAAGTGCACTGAGTTTATGAAGCCCAAGTATGAATCATGGGTTAAAATCTATTTTCTTATAAATATGCTGTTTGTTGTATTCCACTGGGTTGAATGATTCACCTTCCAGCCTCAAACTTCATATAGCATGTAATCTATATTGAGCTTCTAGGGAAATTTGTAAGCATGTCTCTCTAAGGGACAGCTCAATAAGTCTGCCACTGAGAATATACTGGAATTCCCCCTTGTGCACAAATGTCTCACAGAAAAACAGATAAGGAATGCAAAGGAGAGAGCGGGTGGGCCATGTGTAGAAGAAGTGGACATAGAAATCCACTTCATTTACCCACAGAAAATAATAATTTCAGCATAAGGGTCTATCTAGCTATTGTATACTTTTATACGCCCTCAATGATATCTGCCTATGGTCTACGGCACACACAGACACCCACATGGGCCTATCCAGCCAGAGGGGGGAGAAATACTTCTGAATCATCCAACATATTACTCACATGCTACAGGCTAAAAACTGTGTTTGTTGCTACATGTAACTATTGGTTACTCTGACAATTCCTTCACATTTGAGCTCTCTGCCAAGTGAGGGTGTATTGGAGAACAATGATAAGGGGATATTTCTTAATTCTCTGCAGTGTCCAGCCAAAACCTTGGCGTATGATACAGTATGTGCTACCCACCCATTAATCAACCTTAATCAGTGTATTTCTATAAAGTCTCCTTGATAATCGGATTTCCCATTATGTAAAGTCTCTTGTGTGGGATATGGGTTTTCAGACAATACACTAATGGTGTAATAAATAATGGGTAAATGGGTAAAAAGACACTAAGATCATTTGCTCACACAGATCCAGGAAAACACAGGACCCCTTAAGTCCCAGAAATTGCATCAAAGGTTAGATTACTGCTGATTCACCAGCAATGCATATTCAGTCGAGTGCTTTATTATTTTCTTTGTTTACAGTGTGCATAAAAATGCAGTTTAACTTCCTTGTAATTATATCAATTGTAGTGTTTAGTTTATGGAAAAGGAAAAAAAAAAAACAGGAAGTGTGAGGCACCTTGTATTAGTTTCATAGCAAAAATACATAAAATTTACCATTATGTCATTTTGAATTTCCCTCTGCTAATTCTACTATTTTGTTTTATTGCATATACATGATGTATGCTTCCTAGAAGGTGGACCCCTTCTTTGCTGAATTCCCCATTTCTATTTATTTATTTTTATTATTTCTTTCACCACCACCATAAGTATAGAAGATGATTTTTTTTAATTAATTGGACAATAGATTCAGTGATATAGAATTGATATTAAATTAAAGTCATATGCAACAAATTGTGCTAATGAAATGCATTTTACTAATTCATTGTCACTGAATGTTGCCATCCACTGAAAGCAGAAGTTCTCACAGTTTGGCGGTCTCGAGCTTTGAGGTGTGCGTTAACACAATACTGCAATCTTTGCGGGAGTTGACATCCCAGCAAGGTCAAACTGAGCAACGCTAAGAGAAACTGCAAATAACCAAAACCTATATCTCTGACCTCAGCTAACATGTTAAATACTAATGTTCACAATGGTAAAATTAGAAAAAGCTGAATATGTATACTGTTTTATTTAGAAGGGTTGCCAGGAGAAAGCCTGTTTTCTTTAAAAACAACATGGCAGGACAGGTGACTTTTGTTCAAATGCAAACTTGCATTTGAACAAACCACAAGACTGCTGTAACAAAGTCAATAACACACAGTGTCGTGATTGGAGAAAACCAAACATAACATATAGGGATGCACCAATACCGATACTGGTATCGGGTATCGGGCCGATACTGTAAAAATATGTGTGTACTCATACTCGTAAAAGTTAACGATACCATGAACCGATACTAACTTATTTCATTAATCAGAGGGTGGCTTGTCATTT